TATTATGATTTTTTTTAAATGGTTGAATCTAATAGTTATTGAATTTATGTATTTTGTTATAAAACCTTAAGGTAAAAAAAATTGTGAGAATAAAAGAAACCCTTTTAAGGATTTCTCTTGTTCTAGAATGATTTGGTCCAATAAAGTCTCGCTAAAATGTCTAGGTATGACTGAGATAAAATACTAGCCATGACTGAGGTAAAGATAAAAATACTAGGTATGACTGAGATAAGTATGACTGAGATAAGATAGGGTTGTCTAGATATGGCTAAAATAAAGCAACATCTATAAAGTGTGTACGCATGTGATGGGGATACGCCCTTTTTAACCTGTTTCTCATCCTCTTCTATGCACTTATACATTGTAGAAGTGCGTACAATAATGCGTATTCAAACTGCGAGTACTGACAGAGACTATTTTTCTCATCATTTCACAGTGACAAAAAGGCTCTGACAAAAGTCAAAAAAGTGATTTTTTTACAATAAAAATTTTTAGATACGTGTATAGTATACATGTTTTTTTTTTTATAAACATATGAAATTTTTGAAACAGGCTCGGTTATGCTTAAGCAAAAAGTTAAAAGAGGCTCAAAAATATGCTTATACTTAAGCATATTTATAATAAAATATGCTAATTTCAATACTTTCTAAAAATATGTGCGTTACTAAAGGTTAATGGTTATAAGAAAAATAAAAAGTCGACTTTAGTACAGTATAATAAAAGATATATACTATATACAAATGTTATCAATTAAATAATACAATAAATAAAATTTAAAATAATAAAATAAATAAAATTCGAATTTTTTAAATGGTTTATCGAGGCTCAGGAATATATTTACGTATGCTTATTTTTTTTCCAAATCTGAGCCTCCATATGCTTATAAACGTTATGCTTATAAAAAAAAAACATGTATATCATGACCTTTCTAAAATGGATATTATTTTTTTATAAATCAAAAACTGTTTCTACAGTTACAAATTAAAGAGGGTTCTTTTTCAGAACTAAAAACTCAATAAAAATTATGTTCAACTTTATTTCTTCACAAATTTAAAATTATTTTTATTCGTTGTGCTTTTTTTTAGTAAATTTTGAAATATATTTATAGCTTATTATTTTCTTGCAATTATAACAAAATATAAATGTAAATCACCTTTTTTTTCTGTTGTTTAAAAAAATGTGTAAAAAACTTTATTACAATTATCAGAGAGGTATATATATAACATGATACTTTTTGGAACACAAGTGAACACACTTATAAGTTTATGCAACAAATGATTAACATGTTTACTATGAGGTAAAATTAGTTTTGGCTGCTACTTGCTACTGCTACTTCAGCTACTTACTACTGCTACTTCTTGCAACTTTGAGCACTTTCAAGCTCTAAAGCTAAAAACATTTTGGAGAACCCCTTCACTTTATATATATGATATTAATGTAATTTAAAAATACCGAAAAATTTGTTAATAAATTCTGTTTATTTTGATAAAATGAAAATGATAAAAGTATGTTATTCTTAAATTTGATAACTGACTACCTGTAATACCTCAAGTTTTGAGCATTGAACGGAGCACACGTGTTTACGAAGAAAGTTAGAGATATTTTTTTATATATTTGACTACTTTTATTTTTTGATTATTGTAATGGAAAATGAAAGAGTAGTTACTATAGGAATGCTTATGGAGTTGATGCCAATTCAATCTAACACAATTTTAAAGTGTTTTAATGAAACTTTCAGATGCTTTTAAGAAAAATTTGATAACTTAGAAAAAGATGTTAAAGACTTTAAACGTGGCCTAAATTTTAACGGTGATCAACTTAAGACAAAAATAAGTAAAGTTGACAAAAAAATGGACGAAATTAAAACTTCGTTAATCGGAATAAAATCATTTCAAGGCAAATTAGTCAGCGAATCGACCGAGAATAAAAGAAAAACAGTCAACTTGGAAGATCGCAATCGCCATAAAAATTTGCGAATTATGGGTGTTGTAGAGGGACCCGATAAAACATATGATGATGTTTAAAAAAAACTCAAATCGTTCATTAAAGAGGACCTCCAAATAAATGAACCAATAATCATAGAAAGAGCCCATCGGGTTGGAAAATTTGAAAACAAGCCGAAAACAATTATTTGCAAATTATTAAACTGGCAGGAAAAAGAAAACGTTCTATCTAGGGCAAGAAATCTTAAGAGAAAAAATATTTTCATTAATGAAGACTTTAGTGGAGAAACCATGAGAATCCGAAAAGAACTATTTGCACAAGCAAAAATGCATCGAAGCCAAGGAAAATATAACCGCCTGGTCGTACGAAGCCAAGGAAAATAAAACCGCCTTGTCGTACGAGAAATGCCGAATATAAGCAATGCGAAGACAAACAAAGATAAGTGAAAACAAATTTATTTTTATTGTTTTTATTTTTTATTGACTTTGATTAAAAATTATTAAACGATCTAATAAAAAATGAGTTTAACTAACACTAATAATATAAAAATTAATATTGAAAATAATATAATAATATGAAAATTAATATTGAGTCTCCAATTTTAAACTTTTTGAGAACTAACAAAAATGAATATAGTTTTTTGACTGAAATAAATATAAGTTGTCTCGACAACTCATACTATAAACCTGACAAGTTTAATAGAGAAAAAAACAATAAAGATTTTAGTATCCTAAGTATAAAACATGAGATCAATGAATAAAAATTTTGAAGCTGTTAAACATTTTTATTACTCTGTAAACTATCTTTTTGATGTTATATGTATCTCAGAAACTTAGGAAGATGCAAAACTGCCTTTGTCAGAAAATTCTTTGTCCAATTTATCATCTTATAAAATAATAAGTCAACCACGTGTTGGAAGCATGGGAGGCGGCGTTGCAATCTATATTCTTGACAAGTTTGTATTTAAAACAAAAAAAAATTTTTGTAAAGCAAACAAACATATTGAAATTTTGTGTATAGAAATTCTAAATAAAACTGGTAAGCCTTTTTTAATCTCCTCGCTTTTGCTTCGCGGTAAGCAAATTAACTTTCATAATAGTCTTAGAACAATTATCTCGCAAATGAGTATTCAGAATAACCATATTTTTTTTGCTGGTAATTTTAACTTGGATGCAATGTGTTATGAAAAATTTGTAAATACAAAAAACTTTTTTAATTTATTACTTGAATTTGACATAATACCTACCATTTTTAAGCCTACACGTATTACAAAAACTACTTCGTCCACAATTGATAATATTTTAACTAATAATATTTTAGATACTTATTTTGAATCAGATATTTTTATTACAGATTTCTCTGATCGTTTTCCTATCTATCATATTGCGCACGGAGTTTCATCAAACGACGACAATAAAAAAATATTTGTTACTAAAAGAAATCTATGTTTTAAAAGCCTAGATAAACTTAAAAAGAAACTGTACGAAGAGCGATGGGAAGATGTCTATTCCTCTGCAGACGCCAATAGCGCGTTTGAGAATTTTTCGAATACTTTTCTAAATGTTTATGACAATGTTTGCCCAAAATTAAACACTGAGATAAAAACAAACAACTTAAAAACCCATGGATGACAAATAATTTGATAAAAACATCTAAAAGAAAACAAAAGCTTTACATAAAGTTTCTAAAATCTAAAAAGGAAAATGACGAAAATGCGTACAAATCATATAAAAAGTTTTATCAAAATAACTTAAAACAAGCTAAAATAAAATACTATTTTAACCAGCTGAATAAAAATAAGTTTCATATCAAGAAAACCTGGTCTATTATAAATGAAGTAGCTGGAAGAGAGAAAAAGAAACTTTCTTGCTTACCAAAAAAAGTGATTATTAACAACAAAACTATAACAAGTGAAAAAAATATGTCAAGAATTCAACAAATATTTTGTTAATGTGGGCGCCTCTCTTGCATCTAACATTGTTCAGTCAACTAAAGTGTTTGATGAATACTTGGGAGAGAAAGCCGCGACTAGCATATCTAATAAAAAAATAAATAAACACGAGTTTAACAAAGCGCTATTTGAACTAAAGCGTAACAAGTCATGTGGATGTGACGACATTACCAGTAATGTAGCTATCTATGTTATGGATAGTATAACCAAACCATTATTTTATTTAATAGCAGTTTCATTTGAGAATAGTATATTTCCTGATAAATTAAAATCAGCCAAAATTCATCCAGTTTTTAAAAATGGTGGTTGTTCTTCTGTTTGCAACTACCGTCCTATATCACTACTCCCTGTATTTGCAAAAATATTTGAAAGTGTAATTTTTAATAGAATTTATGATTATATGACGTTAAATACACTTTTATACAGAAATCAATTTGGATTTCAGAGATATTGCTCAACTGAACATGCTATTATTGAACTTTCCAAAAAAATATCCTTGTCCTTTGATAAAGGGGAACAAGTACTGAGAGTATTTATCGATTTTTCTAAAGCATTTGATACTGTTGATCACGAAATTTTGCTTTCAAAGTAATGAAACAATTGTTGCATTTCACTTCTTGTATTGATGCTCTTCGATAAAACACTTTGATAAAACTCACTTCGATAAACTGTCTTGATCATACTGTCTGATTGACTTCCATATACTGACTGAATTACATGTCGGTTTACATGTCTCTTATATAGTAAAATGAATCTGTGTGAACCTGTTCTGGAAGATTCTAGATGCTTCTTTTTGATGCTTCTGGATGCATCTAGATGCTTCTGGATGCATCTAGATGCTTCTGAATGTTTTGGGATACTTCTGGATGCTTCTGGAAGCTTCCAGATGCTTCTTCTGGAAACTTCTGGAAGCTTCTGCATGCTTCTGGAAACTTCTGGATACTTCTTTTAATTATTAAAAAACTTTCGTGACGTTGACAGGGACCAGACTTAAGAAAATGAAACAAACCAAAAAAGTTGCACTTGTTTTGTCCGCTGCAAAATGGCACTTGTTAACGAAATTCTGCCTGTGTGCTGTCACCTGTCAGCTGATTGCTCATGTCAT